GTGCTCACTGGAAGGACAGATCCTGAAGCTGAGGCTCCGGTACTTTGGCCATCTAATGAGAAGAAAAGACTCCCTGGAAAATACCCTGATGTTGGGAAAGTGTGATGGCAAGAGGAGAAGGGGATGACCGAGGATGAGATGGCTGGACAGTGTCTGCAAAGCAACCAACATGAATTTGACACAACTCCGGGAGGCAGTAGAAGATAGGTGCTCTGGTCCATGGGGTCACGAAGAGTCGGACACGACTAAACGAAAAACGAAGATAATCTTCTTAGAATTTTGATGGATTGAGTATCAGCAGCTTGATAGACTTGTATTGATACCCGGTTTATTCTCTGTTATTTATTTGTATATTTTGCAGTTCCTCTGAGAGCAGCCCTCCCATCCATAGCTGTCTAAAATTACAGGTTCTTCAAAAGATTCTTCTTTAAAGGAATCCGTTGACCTAACATCTCTTTTCTGTAGTTCTTTGGTGTATTGTTTCCATCTTGCCTTTATTTTGCCCTGATCAGCTTCATCTGTGTCAGCAGCCCTGATCAGGGATTAAATATAATTTAGATTTATTGAGTCTTAGGGAAGAGATGTTTTCTTTTGGTGGGTTGCTGTTCTGTTACTTTGCAATGACTGTTGTAATATTTCTCTTTGTCTTTATGTAGAAGTTCCATTTAGAATTTTGAAAACTTGTGTTCAGGCATCTGATCTTATTTCTGTCCCCTTTTTACTTTAGCTTCTCATCTGTTATTAAAAAATTTAAAGAGTTCCGTAAGTCATTCAACATTTCTTTTGTTTTCACTAGAAAAAGTTTTTTTCACTTGTCTCAGGTAATATCTTTGGTTTCAATCCACAGTTCTGATTCATGGCCAACAGAGTTTAGCAGTGCAAATCTGTTTTTTACATTAATTTAAAATTCTTCAGTAATGTTATTTAAATTATAACTTGACATTATAATTGTGTTCATGGTCTGTGCTGCATTCTTTTCTCAAGCATTCCTGCATGGATAACAGTGTTAAAGTGAAATGTGGTCTACCATGCAGATATATCTCCTGCAAAGTCAAAATAATCATTGGCAGCAAACCTTATGTCATTTCTCTATCTTGGTATATGACTGATACTTAAATGTTCAAGTGGCATAATTCTGTGCATGGTTACTAACAAGAAAAGGCCCTCTTAGTTATTGGGGCTAATTCTGAAGTAGTATCCTACAGTCTAAAATATTTATTTATTTATTTATTTGATTTATGCCCCGCCTATCTGGCCCACCGGACCACTCTAGGCGGCTTCATTTTACAGGGCTTGCCTCATACATATGCATACACTGTTTTAAAACCAATTTTTTGTCTGAACTTAGGAAAACTTCTTTTCCACAGTTTAAGTTGGAATTATATTATTTTAATATACAGTACTCTGTTACTTTTGCTATGCGTACTATCTCTCATTTAATAAGAGTTTCTAATCTTGAGGGTGGTAAGAGTTTTCCAGTGGCTTTAAACAGACCAGCAAGAAACAAATACTGTAAGACTCTTGAGAGAAATGTAAAATAGTGTTACTGTAGCAAGAGTTCACTGCTACATATTCTGCTTTAGCTCTTTGCAGCATGGAACTGTTCATTGAATTATTTTACATTTTTAATGAATTGAAAACTGTTTAGAATTATTATCTATTTACACAGTGTTATAGCAGTAAAAACAAAAATAGTCTTATTCAGTGTTTGTTTTTCTTAACAGGTTTGTTCTAAACTGCTTAAAACAACTATGACACCTGCTCTTCAAGAAAAAACAATAAAAGGCCAAAGCATCTATTTAGCACCTACCTTATCTTCAGGAGCTGTGGAGTCCAGTGAAACATTAGGCATGGGAAATCCCTTACCAGTAAAAGACATGCTAAAGAATAATTCTGTTGCAAAGATTACATGTTCTGTGCTAGGGCTTCCCACCTGTTGCACTAACCATAGCACTAATAATTTTAATTTAGAGTACTTTGATTCCCATTCTTCTAGAGATTATCCTTTATTAACCAGCCCCAATCTGGCTTTTGGTGTAAATAATAAAAATCATACGCAGACAAATTTGGAACATAATTGCTCCAAGATGAGAAATCCTTTAGGTAACAACACTAATGCACACTTTAATAAAATGAACAATTTAGAATCTGGGGTACAGATTAGAGGACACACTTCATTAGGAACAGCAAACAACTCATTAAGAATGGGAAGGTTATTGGATTCACACGTAACTGAATCTAATTATGCAGAAGAAAAACAGCTTCCTAACTGTAAATGGCATCAGACAAATGGCTTGTTGGGAAAAGCCTCATTTGTAAATCCTGAGATGCAAAAAGGAGACTTGTATCAAGTGCACTATGATGCCCTGGCATCAACAAAGAATTGTACTCCCAGTGGTAAAGAACAGGAATTAAATTTTCGCTTGCTTCAGTGTGTAAACAAGCAGCAGGTTTTGCTCAGCCGGGCCAAAAGAACTCAAAAACGTTTACAAATTATGTTGGCAAAGCATGTTGTCAGACACTGTGAGCAGCAGATGAAATGCATTGTGAGACATCAGATACAGAGAATGAAAGCTTTTCATGACCCAGCCAGTGTTTTGGATAGCAACTACCACGGATGCACCACAGCTAAAAATGAAAACTACAATCTAGAGGCAAACAGTAAAGATGTGGAGCACCATTGTGGCATTGCATCTGGTGAAATCAAGGTGTTTGCTCGTACTACAGCTGGGCTGCTATCTCAGATGGAAGAGAGTTTGGATTCTGAGGCCACTTGTAGCAGTTCAAGTGAAGATGATGATGAGCAGATTTCCAGAAATGTTGTGGCAGTGTAAGTTTTAAAGCATTTCTGCAGCAATGCACACAGCTGTATATACTTGAATTCTATGTAGATCTATAAGATCTGTGTACTTTGTTGTTGTTTAGTTGTTTAGTCGTGTCTGACTCTTCGTGACGCCATGGACCAGAGCAAGCCAGGCCCTCCTGTCTTCCACTGCCTCCCTCTATGTACTTACAAGACTGAATTTGTAGTATATTGATGAAATGTAGGGCTAGGACCTTCTAAGTCAGTTTTATCAAGCTGGTGGTAGTTGGTTACTAGATTATAGCCAATGTCTATGTGAGTGGAGAACATCTTGCACAACTAATTTTTTTCATTTTCCTTCAATCTCCTGCAATTCCTTGAACCCTCTTGGAAACATTTATTTCTAAGATCATTTCTGAATAGCAGTTAATATGTAGTATGGAGCTGAAGAGAGAGAGAGAGAAAACAGTTGGCAAAATTCATCAGAAGTTTGTTCCTTTATCTGCCTTGACCAAATTTCAGTATATTATCTATCTTTCATCTAGTTCTTTCTTGATCTTAGCCACCCATTGTGTACACTTATGATGGCAGGAAAAACCAAATGACTGCTGCACTTTTCTGCTGCTGGAAGCAATTGGTTACAGAGTGCATAAATATCAATGATTTTTTAAAGATCAGTTTGATTTAAATTATGACTTAAATCATGATTTAAACCAAAAATTGATTTTTTTAAAATTACTGTAAATCAATTAAATTAAATCCACCCTGGTTGGTTACAAGTAACAGTTACCTAGAATAAATTACCTTTTGGGTAAATGAACAGTTTAACTAGTAATTAAAAGTTAGTTTTAGGTGTAACAAGTAACATCTACGTTGCTTCATTGTAATGCGTAACACATGGTGGTATTTTGACACAGCTTTTTCAGAGTTTGTCATTGTCTTCAGTTCTAAGTAGCAAGATTCTTTGATTTTATCATTTGTATTGCTACAAATATTTTTAAGGTTTAGTATCAGAGTTGGCCATTAGAGGGGACCTGAAAGGATTTTCCCTGTATTTTTCTAACCTACTAGTAAGAGCAGTACAATATATTAATAATGCACAACATAAATTATTTGAGCAATTGAAACAATAATAACAATCAATAGCTGATTGCCTAGAAGCAATGTGTAACACAATGAGCTTTTTAAAAAAATGCCGTTTTCTGATCTCTGATAAATAATATACAGTGGTGCCTCGCATAGCGAGGTTAATTGGTTCCAAAAAAACACATCGCTGTGGGAAAACATCGTTAAGTGAAACGCGTTTTCCCATAGAGATGCATTGAAAACCGGATAATCCGTTCCAATAGGAACGGATTATCTGGTTTTCTCCCCCACTATCGGGTGCAGCCCTTTGGGAAAGCCTCGGGGGAAGGGGGGGAAGACGGCATCGACTGCTGCCTTCCCCCCCACCCCCCGGCTTCTCCCAAAGGGCTGCCCCGACTGCTTGCAGCAGCGGAGGAGGAGCCCTGTGGAGGAGAAAGGCCAGATTGGCTCCTGCCTTCTCCTCCACCGGGCACCTCTTCCACTGCTGTAAGCACAATCGGATGTATGGCTCTGAAAGACTCGTGCTCTCAAGTTACTTTTGTCCTCCAGACATAATCACTTCAGAGAACATATTTAAAGGTGAAAGCCTGACAGTTAAAAGGAATAGCTGCAGAACTAATTACCATGTCAGTGGCTGAGGTACCTATAAGATATCAAAGGTGGAAAGGAGAATAGGTGTAGCTGAGTGATTGCCAGTGCCTTGTTTAATTGGGATCGAACTCACTGAGCATGTCAAAAGTGTTTTAGTGCAGATTCACTCCCAACAGAAAGAAGAAGACAAAGCAGAGGATAAGGGCGAAATTCAAACAGAGCTGGTGAGGGAAGAGGTTTCTACAGCTGGATTAATACCTGTTACGGTTCCCCTAGAAAGTACAGTTAAAAGGGAACAGAAACCAGATCCCATGTTGGATCAAGGTTGTAAGAAAGGTGGCGAAGCTCAGTTTACCCCTGAGGGTCCAGAAAGGTTCTTCCTAGAAAAAGACCTTTTGTATAGGAAGACCTTAGGGAATCCCAGAAGGGGAGGGGAGACTCAAAAGAAAACATGCATGGCCATATTGTGAAGGCAGAGGGATGACCTATTGAACACTAAATAGGTTGAGACATAGCCTAACCCTGCCAGTGGTGCAAAGTGCAAAAGGGTTGCGAGTTAGGCTCAATCTGTCCTTCCGAGGCCACCGCTGGCATTTTCCCCCAGCTGAGCTCCCGCCGCTCAGCTGGGGTAAAATGGTGCCTATGGGGAAAACATCGCAAAGCGATTTTTCCCCATAGGCAACATTGGTATGCGAATTCGTCGTTAAACGGGGCACTCGTTATACGAGGCACCACTGTACTGTTGCTTATGATACCAGCTAATTTGAACAAATGCTTCCAGGCACAATAAACTAGAACCAAATGTATCTGGTTTATTATGCCTTTGTGTGCTGCAACAGAGGTGTGGATTCTAGGTGTTAGCTCTCAGATAAGAAGAATTAGCAAGAAGGGGAGATGAGTTTGGCAGCAAAATAACACTGGAGGGGTGGATAACCATTAGACATCCATGGACTGGACATATCCATCCCTAGATAGATATTAGATGATTGATCTAGCAAACTAGTCTGGATTATGTTTGGATAAAGGGGACTCTTGAGTACTCCTTTGAGTAATACAAACCTTTCTTCGTGCCAAAACATCTTGTAAACTACCATATCTTTTCAGATCCTGGCATTTAGCCAGAAGGTATGGTTAGTAGCATTTTCCTCTGAGCAGGGCTTTTCCCATTTTAGATAGATCTTCTCCATGGGGTGCCATTTGACTTTCCCATTAGTTTGTCCTCTGACCTCCAGCACAATCTTCCCACTCACAATACAATATTCCTTCCACTATGTTTGTCTTTCATGGTACAGAAGATTAAATTCACTGTACCAGGAGAGCTTTCAGAAGTTGTTTTTGAGGAATCTGGCTCAAACACAGCCTCCAGACTGAACAAAGATCCATGCCATTACTTCCCCAGTCCACTGGTTCCTTTAAATTAGGCTGTACAGCCACCAGTGCCCTGGAGTGTGGGAGTGCAGGATTTAAATCAGAAGAAAAATTGGGGATGGGGCAAAGAAGGGACTGGCTTTGTAGAATAGCGATCTCCATTAGAAGACACACTGGTGGAAATTTTTCCTAATGTGGGACAGGTCTCAGAAATACTGTTTTGGAAGATGGGTAGTGCAGTACATTCTAACTAGTGTATTTTCAGTTCTGTTTTCTTTACTCATTAAAGATCATGGTAACTGGTTAAATTCAGCCTAGAGAGAAGAGTCCTCCAGAGACAAACCCTTTAACTATCAGGACTTTATTCCTGTTATTGATAAGGCTGTTATAATTCTTTATATCTAGATGCCTTCTAAGTAGTCAGACCAGCAAGTTTCCACCTTATTGTCTAAGGCTGAGTATGGCTTACAGGGCTGAACTTCAGGCTTGTGGGGTAATCATGTTTTCAGAATCTGAAGTAGTATTTAGAATGGATTCTTTTCAGGTAATAGATATGCTTATGAAAGTGGAATGGGTCACTCCTCTACAGGCCAGAAAATGTGTAGTAATAGTTCAGAAGTTAACATATTTTATCACTCTCCAAACAGTGGCGGATTTGAACTGTCCACTAGTAGTGGACCAGTAGACCTCTCAGACGTGGCCGTTCTTTTTGTGAGTTGTACTTCTCAAGGAGGGGAATACCCCTTTGAAAGATACAGGTGGGGAAAAAAAAGATCAAGTTTGATCCTGTGAAAGCTTAATACATCACCCTTGATGATTCTAACATCTTCCATGGCCTATGAAATGACACATGCCTCCATGCTCTTAATTGAGAACTTAATGTGGCACACCAGACAGACATATTGGCTGAAAGAAACCATTTTCATAAACATTGTGATCAATCCTGTTAAGTGTCCTATGTCACACTGCACAGTCTTCAGAGAGGAGCCCCTCCCCCAGGATTCCTTGACTAATGCTTTTGACATGCTATTCTGGATAGGGAGTCAGCTACCAGAGCAATGCTGTGGCTTCTGGACAGACAGGCTCTGTTAAAGCCACTATGAGCCACTTGCCTTCCACTATATATTTAAAGCCCACAGTCCAAAACCAATATGTATTGGTTAGAAAAGTTTTTAAACAACACACACACAAAACATGGAGTGGGATCCACCTGTTGAAGGGACATTTCTCCTCAAGTGAGCAGAGAGACTCATCCACTCTTACTGCACAGTGTGCCAAGATGGGACTCAGTGCCATGGTAGATTTCAGCAGGCAGTGTTCCCTGAGGAGAGCAGGCCATATCCTTCGGTCTCTGCCCAGATATAGGATAGAACTATTTTGATATACTGTAATTAGATCTCTTTGCCTCACATTCCAGTGCAAAACTCCCCAGGCTGTTCTCCCAGTTCACCTCATCCAAGACTGAAATGTTATATGCCCTGATGACACAATAGCTTCTGGGTCTTCACAGTGCCTCTGGCAGTAATTTCCAGGATGCTGAGGAAACTTCACTAACAGGAAAGGTCCTGCAAGGCTCCTTACTGGCTTAGGAAGCCTTGGTTCTTAGAAATAGTAAGCCTTGCAATAATGAGACCTTAGTTCCAATCCCTCACGCATTATTGCCTCACTCAGGGACAGTGACAAAGCTGCACCCAGACTGGCTACATCTAGCTGTTTGGTGTGAGCACAACCTCTATCTAAACCTTAAGTACTCTGTGTAACTCATTAATATGCACACCAGGACCAAGATAGTTATGAGGACACCTAACAAAAGGTCTTAAATTCTATGGTGAACTGTCTCAAATTCTGCATATAAAAATTGCTTTTGAGCAAATTATACATGTCCTGAAAATCATGATCTGTCTAAGCACCACTTACTGAATAAGCTTTGTTTTGCTTAATTTTTCTTTGTCTAGTTTTTTTTTTAGTGATAACCTGGAACTTGTTTAAATTGCAACTGTAAATTTTTATTGCAACTGTAGACAAGGAGGTGTGCAATGTGTGTGTTTACAGGAAGTGTTAGCTTTTAAACTATACATGCTTTTCAGCCTGTTGTTTGAGGCATCAAGGATAAACTTAAAAGAACACATTTTCTTTGATGATTTGTATGGAATGTATCAAATTCTAGATTAGAAGGCACATATATGCTTGCTACGCAGATTTTGGACTTCCATCTCTGAGACTAATTTGTTTTCATTGCATGTAAGTTTATTAGACTGCTAAACTTCATGAAATTAACTGTTATTGAAATTTGCTAATAAATTTATTTTGTATCTTTGAATACGTGGCTTAGCTAATTATGAGGCCTACGTATGTTTGAAAATCATAACTTATTTCTTATAAGAAATCATTCACGTGTACCTAGATTTTTTGCCTATTTTATTGATTCAGTTGTTTTTCTCAACCCTAGCAGAATAACCAAACCAGCAAGACTTATTTCACTGTTGACTTAAGAACAGTGGCCAAAATGTTGCTTAGTGTAATAAATTGCAGTGGAGTAGGTGCATTGCATCAGTGGTGATTTGGTGAGAAAACTCTGGGACTTCCACTGATTCAATTTGGTCTACTCTAACAGCTACTTTAGCATAGTAAGTTGAAGTTGGAGTAGGACTGCTTGAATAAGTGAAACTGATGTAGGTGTTAACTCATGAAATCCCCACTGATTCCATGAGCCTAGATAAGGTTCCCCTTTATAATTAAGTCCAGTTGTGTCCCACTCTAGGAGCTGGTGCTTATTCCTGTTTGCAAGCTGAAGAGCTGACATTTGTCCATAGACACTTTCCATAATCAGGTGACCGGCATGACTAGGCACAGAATGCTGTTTCCTTACCACTATTCATCTACTCTCATTTACATGTTTTCGAATTTCTAGGTTGGCAAGAGCTGGGACAAGCAGCAGGAGCTCACCCATTGTGTGGACTCGAATTGTTTATGATCAACATTCCAGTGTTTAAAGGCTGTGCTGTAAATGGGACTGTTACATTTCCCCAGTGTCCCCTGTGTGTTTTCCCTTAAACACAGGTTCACCTTCGGACACAATGCACTATTTTCTCCCTTTACAATGCACTATTTTCTCCCTATCCACACTGTACCAAATATGTTTCTTAGACCCGGGCTGCCAAATGTAACAGGTTTATTTATTGTTTGATTGGTAAATCACAGAAGTAAAGTCATAGATGTTTTGTTATTGTTCAATCATTACATTTGGATAGGATTACATGTATGCTTGTTTGTATTCATTCACATTAACCACCCTTACAATATCTTATGACTCTCTATCTGTTTTCTATTACTTTTATCTCTTATCTATTCTCTAACACACCAACTTTCCAATCTCTGTCTTAACGCTTCAAAACTGCTTATCTAACTCTCCTCAGTCTCCAACTGTTCTCCTGACTCCCCCCCTCCTGTCCTGTCATAGGCTCCTGCCCTAGAGCTCCATATGATGGACAGGCGTGACTTGGGCATTCCGCCACAGGGACCAACAGTTGAATTTAGTTATTCTTTCTATACTAAAAATATGTTACTCATTGGTCAAAATCCTGTTTGTGGAGGAGTAACATAATGCTGAATACCCACATGAATTTGACCAAACTCCGGGAGGCAGTGGACGACAGGAGGGCCTGGCATGCTCTGATCCATGGGGTCACTAAGAGTTGGACACGACATAACAACTAAACAACAACAACATAAAGCTACACCCACAGAAATTTGGTGGGCATTGCAACATGGCAACATATAATTTCACAATTTAGTTGTGCAATTGGTCATGCAATTCTCATTGCTACCATTGCACAACATGCCGGTGGAAGTGCTTTGTGGATAACACTCTGACCTTGGTGCTCTTCTAACTACATTGAGTTATGTCCATGGATCTGTTTTCCAAAATTTCAGTCAATGAAATCTGTTTTCTTTACATATTTAAAAAAAACCCTCTTTAATTATTTTTAAAATGAGACGGTTATTCTACACGTTCTACTTTAATTGGACCACTCTCTTAAGTGTAAAATAACTACATTTTGCATTGTACAAGAAGATAATAGTATAAAACAAGTTATTTACCAAATTAATCCCTGTTTCCAGTTGGAGTTCACCCAACATTCCCTTTAATTTTCCACCAGCCCTGAGGAGAAACTCCATCCTGCGCACACAAAGTTTTGACCATGACGAGAAACAAATGAGCAGCAACACCAATTGCAGGCGTACAGTGCCAGTATAGCGCTGTGCACTGAACAACTGAGAAGGAACATTGACTTCAGAATAAAAAAAAAATCAGAATGCTGATGAAAAGTATTATTATGCTAGGCATCATAGAGTAGTTCGACCAGATAAGAAGACTTAAACATACAAGTTATTGCTAACAGAAAATTAGCATGATTATAACTATTAAGTAATGTAATTGTATGTATGGGGAGAACTATATGAACTTCTTGCTGCTAAAGTGTAAAAAATTATCCGTGTTTTAAGCTGAAATAATTTTTGGCCACAGTTGATGTGATTTTGTCACCTAGGCAAATAATCAAATTTCAGGGTGGTAACTGTGTTGATCTGTTAAGGAATGCATGTACACAAGGGTATTGCTGCTATTGCAGCATCTTTAGAGACTTCGAGATTTATTATGGGAAACTTTGTGGTAAAAAGATTGGGTACGATATATTTGTTAGAGACTTGTAGTTCCTTTAAAGAGTGCTTTCTGCAGAATATTTGAAATGTCTTCCTTGAAGATCATCTATTGTTGGCTAACCTGCATTCTTTTTGTATTCTTTCTAGTAACTATAGATCTGACTGGAAATGGCTGGTAGACAGAGCTAAAGTTGGCTGCCGTTGGACATGGCTTCAAGCCCAGATTTCAGAGCTAGAGTACAAAATCCAGCAACTCACTGACCTTCACAGGCAGATCCGTGCTACGAAGGTATTGTCAGTGGTAGGAAAAAAAAGTTATCCACACAATAAGTTTTGTTATTGATACTTTTTTGCTGTGTTTTATAACTTCAGGTATCTGAACGAAAGTATTATGTAAAATTACAAAAGTAAATGAAGAAGTATATTGAGAGCTATATGATTTAGACTGAATATAGGAAACCTTGGAATCTGCTCTAATAGCTGGGGAGCCACATACAGTAAGCCCCTTGTTACAGCAGCTCCACTGGCTGCAGATCCATTTCTGGGCAGAATTTAAAGTGCTGTTTTTAACTTGTAAAGCCCTAAACAGTTTGGGCCCAAGCTATCTCAAGGATTGTGTCTCTCTTTATGAGCTTGCCCAGGTGTAAAAATCGCCTGGTTTTTTTCTTGGCCTCACCACCTTCACAAGTGCATTTGATGGGGACATGGAACAGGGCCTTCTTTCTTGCTGCTCCTAGACTCTGGAACTCCCTCCTGCAGGAGGCCAGGCTGGCTCCATCTTTGCTGTTCTTCTGCAGTCAAAATCCTTTGTTTTCAAGCAGGCTTTCCTTTAGTTTTAAAGGGTTTTTTAAATTAATCGTTGTGCTTTGTAGCTTTTGATGTATTTTGGTGTTGATTTTGTGTATCATTTTTTAAGTGTTATTTGATCTTTTTAAAATACTTGCATACTTACTGGATTCTGCTTTAAAGTATTGCCTGTTAATGATGTAAGCCAGCTTGAAACCTGCTTAAGGAGAAAGCTGGGGTAATAAACAAACAAACATTGCATTCCTCTTCTGGGTGGTGAAGAGCATATGTGTAACGAACTAAGAAATGACACTAGAGAGAGTTGGAGGCAGACACATGGAATTGAGAGAAGAGGCATGGAGAGAGTTATCTTGAAATCAGTTTGAATGGCTGTTTGGATGGCTTGAAAGCAGGAAGGTTGTGTGTCTTGGGATATAACAGCCAAGATATTGGCTACAAGCCTGTAAATTGCAGTGGGCAAACAAATAAATGACAGAAAAGAGATCCTTAAATTCAGTTATAATCTGCTTCCTATGAGCAAGAGGGGAGACTCTGTGTTTCCTCAAACACAACTAAAAGAGAAGAAACACATGTAACTGGACTGATGGCAATCATTGTGGTTTAATTCTCCCACAGGTTATAAAAGAAAAAAATATTTTAGAAACAAAAGTGCTGTTTTTCTTCCAGGGAACATCAGCTGCTCTTTTTTCACTCAGTTGAAAATAGTGTTACACCTGTTACACACATCCAGGGTAACAGATTTGAAATGTCTGAAGGCAATTTTCCATTGAGTTTAGACACAGACCAGGCTGTGATATACCTTCCATACTAGAGAGACATTTTCCCATTTGGAAAAAAAAAAAAAAAAAAGGTTCTTTGTAGTGGTCTCTGTGAATGCATACAAATGGGTTTATCCTGCACGTGCGCAGGATGTTCGGAAGAAACTAGAACTTAGGAAAAAGAAACTATTTAGTCCCCCACCAGGGTATAAGCTCCGCCTCCTCAACCTTCCTTTCTGTTCCTCTTTTTCCGCCATTCCAGTAGGACGTTTGGAATAGTAGAGCAACTTTAAGGAAAGTTGGCCTTCTTTTCTTTCTGTTTGATTCTCTTTTATTTTTATTCCACACTGGTGCATTAGAACTTAATAGATTTAATTTTTTTCATGTTCTATCACCCTTCCCGCCTTTCCCCCGCTGACGGATTCCCCCTCCCTTTTCCTTTTTTGCTTTACGTGTTTTTTAATGGCCCCTCGGGGTTTCAAATAGTGCTCTGTTCACGAAAGATCCCTCTAATAGACGGGCACGACCAGTATTTATCTTGCCTGGAGGAATTCCATTGCGCCCAGTCGTGCACTGCATGCAGGAGCCTTTCTAAGCAGGCTATTAAACTTCAGCGCCAACGGCTTTGTTCTTTCCTCTACAAAAAGACTCTGACTATGGAGGTGCCTGCCCTCCCTACACTGACTCCTCGCACGGAGACTTCTAAATCAGCTCCCAGCCCGGTTGAGCAATCTTCACTTACCTCAGCTCCTTTACCGGTTAAGCCCAAGGACTCGGGAAAATCACCTAAGCTAGTTGCCACCAAGGCTCCGTTGTGGTCCATTGTTCCTGTTAAAAAGAAAATAGACAAGGAAAATCCTAAGAAACCAAAGAAATCATCTAAAGCTGCTTCCTTACCGCTACCTGTAGCAGGGATGGTTCTGCCTAACTCCCCTCCTCTTAATCTATCCTCGGGTTCACCTCGACCTCAGCAAGGTCGGGGAAATCAGTGGTACGCTTGATTAACTGAGTGTATGAGGTGTAGTCCTCCGAAGGGGTGGGAGGGTGGCTCCCAACAACCACCGATGCCCGCGTGGGGAGGTCAGTGGGTGAATCCTCCCTAATTTCACCCTCGTCCACGCTCGAGCCCGACTTGACATCTCAATCCAGGGAGGGAGCAGACAGTCAGGTCCGAGGAAAATCCAGTTCTGATTCAGGATGAGTCAGTGCCTCCATGAGGTCGTCTTCCCAAGCCCGAGAAGAAGGAATGGGCAAAGGAGGCACACATGGTGTATGTTCGATTTGACGCCGAGAGTCTGGAATCGAACCCAATGAAGGCCCTGTAGGTGCTGAAGCCAACTGCTGCTCCCTCACCTGCAGTTGAGAAGGCTGTGGGGAGGGTTTGTCCAGTCACCAAAAACACCCTTCCACATAAGGTGGAGACCATGGTGGGAAGTGGTCAAAATAGGACTGCCACTGCCAGAAACCAAAGTATGAGGCTGGATCGAAGGGTGGCAGATAAGCAGGCCCCTCGAACCCGAAGCCTCTTTGTCTAAAGAAGCCACGTGGGTCTTCCCAAGACAGATGGTGCACATCCTGGTCCTGTGGCAGCTCCACCAATGCTAGTCAGGGTTGAGCCCGATCAGGCTCAGGCTCGATGTGCCAAGTCTTCCGCTTCCTCTTCTGCGGGGGTGTGGCAACAGGTTCCATAGCAGGAGTAGCCGGAGTCTCAGAACGGACCACAGGTGACCACCTACCTGTAACTTTGTTTCTTCGAGTGGTCATCTGTGAATTCACACTCCCTGCCCTCCTCCCTGCTATACGTCAAGTGTGCCATTTGATACGCTATATAGCGGCGGGCAGTTCTACGGAACTGAGGCACTCAGTGCTGGAGGTGGGGATATAGCCTAGGTGGGAGGTCCCAGCACCAGGTGCTAGTGCTCTAGAAACTTCCGAGGCTGCCCTGCTTAGGTGCAGATTAACCCATTAGTGTGAATTCACAGATGACCACTCAAAGAACCAGAGTTACAGGTAGGTAACTTCTTTTTCTTGCAAAAGGAAAGATGCATTTTACTGTTTCTGTGAAATAAGTTCTGTTTTCTATATGCATCTCATATACTTTTGGAACCCTAAGTTGCTAATCGAAATATTTCAGAAAGTTCAAATTGTATATTGCAGGGGTTCTCGCTAGGCAATGATTTCATGAAATTAATCTGTTGTTTCCCAACTCTGTTCAATTGCTGTTGTCTAGGGAATGGTGATGCTAGAAGAATTTTCAATCCCAAAGGACATCATGAAGAAACGGACACAACTGACAGATCATGAAGCTTTATTAAACACCACAGGGAGTTCTCAGGCTTCCCTTGAGAGACAGGATGCTTGGCCGGAACATGATTTTGAAATGTCACCTAGTAGTCCAACTCTGCTTCTTCGTAACATAGAAAAACAGGTATTTAAGTGAGACTGAACATATAATTACAGTATGAGTGGAAACTATTCCATTAATATCCATGAAAATGCTATGTATTTTTCTATAAGCTTGATCCATTTATGTATGGAGGGAGTAAGCTTTACAGTACTTTCCCAAATCATATTCAAACTGTCCTTTGGCCAATCATGTCACAATTTGATTTATCTTGTTAGACTGTTGTGAGGATAAAATGAGCACTTCCTTGCATGTCACCGTAAGCAGCTTTTAATTGCCAGTGTCCTATTCCATAGCTCCACCAATTTAGTAGGAGTGATATCACTGGAAGCAGTGGATTGCTGCTAATGAAAGAGGTCCTGCTTTGATTTTGGGTTATGTGTGACCATCTCATTTGCACATTTAAAGTAGGAACTCTTTTATTAGTGGCAATATTTTAATGATGTCATTTCTGCTACACTCATGGAAGTACAGAACAAAGCACCGGCCAATATGTAATAAATCATCTATCAGGATAAAAATGGGAGATGTTTTCAACTTCAAGAAATAGAATTCTGTAGAAAACTACTCATCTTTCCTCTTGCTCCCTGAACATCGTGCCTTTTCCAAATGCTTTTACAACGATAATATTGGATGACTTGGAAGGGAACAAGGATAATTTAGATCATTTAGTACAGTGGTTCTTAATCTTTTTGAAAGAAACCCCCCCTTGAGCCACTGAGGAAGTTATCGCCCCCCTCCTTGTGGCCGCAGGGAGGGGCAATGATAACTTCCTCAATGGCCTGGGTGTTGCTTCTTTCCGCCTTCGCCTCCCCTTCTGCCGCACACTCAGAGACTAAGCAGCGGCTTCTGCTTGGCTTTTGGGGCGGCCCTGGAGCTGCCGGCACTTGAGGAGGCAAATGGCCAGCAGTTATGCCGCGATGGTGGAGAATGGGGTGGTGGTGGGAAGGATGGTGGCTCTCCTTCTCAGGGCTTGGCTTTCCCTGAGCAGCACCATCGGGAGGGAAGAAAAAAAGCAGGGGAGAGACACACAAGGCCAGGCTGAGGAAAGGGGAGGCGAACCATGGCTGGCCGCCTTACCCGCCTGCCCACCTCAGGATGGGGAGCCCGCTGTGACTAAGTAAAGGCATGGGCCAAGAAGGAAAGAATGGAGGCCACTTGGCCGGCCAACTCCCACCCTCGGCCCCCCTTGGGCATTTGGATCCCGGGGGTCAGTGTCTCAGGGAGGGAGGTGGGTGTCCCGCTATGAGGGACGCTTCTCCATCTCCCCAGCCTCTGGATCACCCCACACTGATGCACTCATGAGGGCGAGGCGCAGGCATGTGGGGCGACGTATCCTGACTCTCCAAAGAGGGAGGCCTTGTCGAAGTCAGCCCTTTGTGGAGCTGGACATTCAGAAGAGGCGGTGGGGCGGGATGGTGGGGCTGGGTTCCCCATGGTCTCTTTGTGGGGAGATCGCTATGTGATCTGCCAGATGCTGGGGATGGGAGCCTGAGCCCCAAAAAGTACCTCCAAAACACAACCAGGCCCACAGTGGCTCGCCTAAGTTCCCAGCCAGCATCCACAGCTCCAACACCACTTTCCGCTCGTGGTCCAGCTCTGCCCTGGTGCTGAGGACGCTGCTGAGTGGGTCGAGGTGGAAAAGTGCGCCATGGGCCTGCAAGGGGTCCAGGGCATGGCCGGCCCGGGCATTGAGGGAGCTGGCTTTGTCGGCATCTGAGGCGCTGAGGTGGAGCATGATGGTTCCAGGTGAGGCCACCTCAGAAATCTCTGCTCAATAGCGAGGCTGCGTGAACACGGGCACCTGGTCGTTCAGTGGCTTTGGAAGAAAAAGTGAAGGATCACCTTCCACTTTCAAAACTCTGCCAACTTGTGCCAGCTATGGTGGGACATTGGGATGATTCTCCCCTTATTTTTCCAATGTGGTTGTATGTCTTTTTTTCCTTCTTCACCCATTGAGAGAGGAGGAAATGCCAAGTTAGGAGATCTAAGTCCAGCTTACAGTAGCAGTGATGCTGCTGGTGATAGATCTCTGCACCTGGAATTCTCCGCAGGCCTATCTGCAGTGGACGCTTCTCTGGTGGAAGAAGGAAGAATCCATATACCCCACCATCAGCCCTTCAAAGGTCCATCCTCTAAGTGGGTTTAATTTATGAGCAGAGATGGGGGTATTCGTATTTGTGATATGAGGGTTCAGCCCCATGGGGCTGGACAATCCACTCACCAATCTGTCACTGCTGCGGGCGCCACAATCCTTCCAATGACTCCACAGCTTGCAATTGACGAGTCATTCTTCTGACAGGGAGGCTTGTTCCACCTCCTCCCAGGAGTGGCGAGCCGATCACAAGCTCTGGAGTCATTGGAAGGATTGTGGTGCCCGTGGCAGTGGCAGATCGATGAGTGGACCCCCATTATCGCCACCTGTGTGGGGGTATTCATATTGGTATACGAATACCTCCATCTCTATTCATGACTAAACTGATGTAACCTTTAATAGAGCTGTTCTTTACTTCATAGGTACTGAAGTACAGTGGTGCCTCGCACAACGAGTGCCTCACACAACGATGAATTCACACAACGATGCCTTTTTCTGTTAAATTTGCTGCCTCACACAGCCATGTTTCCTATGGGGGATTTTCACACAACGATCTCCCTTTTCGCTCCTGTAAAAGTGTCTTACAATGTTTGGAAGCTGTTTTAAATGATTGCAATGGTTAGTCCACCTCCTGAAACCTATGCAAACTGATTTTGGTGTTGTTCTGACACTTCGTTAATTTATGATGATTTTTTGTTTTTTCCATTGGAAACCATTAGACAGACCATCCAATGGTTTCCAATGGAGAAAATTCAAAAAATCATCATAAATTAACAAAGTGTCAGAACAACACCAAAATCAGTTTGCATAGGTTTAAGGAGGTGGACTAACCATTGCAATCATTTAAAACAGCTTCCAAACATTGTAAGACACTTTTACAGGAGCGAAAAAGGACTTCGCAAAGGCATTGAAATGTATTGAGTCGGCTTCAATACATTCCAATATAGGAAACATTGTTTCACTCAACGATGTTTCCTATGGGGATTTTCACTGAACGATGGCAATCCGTTCCAATTGGAACGGATTAACCGGTTTTCAATGCATTCCTATGAGAAATGGTGTTTCACACAACGATGTACCTCTACTTACGAATTTAATCCGTTCCAGAACGGTGGCCGTAAATTGAAACATTCGTAAGTAGAAGCACCATTTCCCATAGGAATGCATTGTAAACCGATTAATCTGTTCTGACTGAAGAAAAAAAAACATAAAATAAAATAAAAATAAAACATTGCAGGCCCCTGGGGCTGCAAAAAACAAAACAAATAAAAAAAAACATAACCCCACCAGCCCAAGCCCACCCTGCAAGCCCATGACTGCCGCTGCCAGGAGGCATCCTGGGCTCCAGCCGCCGCTGCTGGGCTAGGGCTTCTCCGCTGCCGCCTCAGGCTTTCCCAGGGTTTTCCGCAAGCGCCACCTTTCTCCCCCACTGCACGGCTTCTCCACCGCCATGGGAGGCTTTCCTGGGGCTTGCCCCAATTGCTGCCTTTCTCTGCCGCCATCCACTGCCAGGCCAGGGTTTCCGCGCCGCCGATGCAGGGTTTCCCAGGCTGGTAGACTGGCCCTACCGGGGAGGACAAACCCCGGGAAAGCCTGCAGCGGCGGCACTGGAAGCCCGGGAGGCTGAGCCCAGCTGGGATGGTCCGGCTTTTGCTAACTGTTGAAGCGAAAGAGCTACAAAGAAGCAGCCTCTTCACCACCAAAGGTTTGAATTTCCTGCCCTTTTCCCCTGCCTTTTTCATTCGTATCTTGAAGCTCCGGCCACAGGTAGAAGCAAAATTTTGCAGCCAGAGCTGTTCGTAAATTGGATTGTTCGTAGGTAGGGACGTTCGTAAGTAGAGGTTCCACTGTATAGGGAATTTGCGTTATTTTCTCCAGCAGCAATATACATGTTGGTTAGGACACTGAATGTTTATGAGGAAAGCACTAATAATTCTGACCTTTTGGTGAAATTACTGTGTCTAAGCAAATGTTCAAGAAGGGTGTTTGGTCCATATTGTTGTACAGTAGTGCCCCGCATAGCGATGATAATCCGTTCCAGGAAAATCGTCGGTATCCGGAATCGTCGCTATACAGGGCAAAAAACCCCATAGGAACGCATTAAAACACGTTTAATACGTTCTTATGGGGGGAAAACTCACCGCTATGAAGAAATCCTCCATCCGGCCGCCATTTTCGCTGCCGGGTAAGCGAGGAATCAGCTGTTTTCTTCTGTGGGTGGCCATTTTTCCGACGGCCATTTTGGAACCACCAATCAGCTGTTTTCTAAACATCGCAATGTGAAGATCGGTAAGCGAAACGCTTACCGATCATCGCAATGCAATGTTTAGCCATTAAAAACATCACAATGTGATCGCTTTTGCGATCGCAAAATTCGCATCGCTATGTGGATTCATCGTTAAACGGGGTGCTCGCTAAGCAAACTGTGCTAATTATATATCTCCTCATGGTTTATAACATAATTATGCAGGCTATGCATTGCCCTCCCACACCCAGCAAGCTGGAGAGTCAGTTTACTGACCTTGAAAGAATAGAAGGATGAGTCGTCTTTGAGCCAGCTACCTGAATCTTTTGGGATCAAACTCTGGTCATGGGTAGAGTCTTGACTGCAGTAATGCAGTTTAACCACTGTGCCACGAGGCTCCTTATCACCTTAGTGGTTACAGAAAAGGTCTTGTTAAGAACTCTGGGATTGAATAGGCATTGGAAACTCCATAAAGAGTTTGAAACAGAGAGTATCAATTGTCACTTTTTGCAGTGGGGAACATTAAGTCTTCAGGCATCTGGTTGGGAACTAGTGCTGTTTAACTTGTTCATTATTGTAACAAGGTGCCTTCTGACACCAAATTATCAAGAGTGTGCTGATGATACCAAATTAGAATAGAACAGAAACACACTATGAAAATTACCAAAAGGATCTTTTCAAAGGGTGAGTCTGGGTGTTAGACAAATGAGTTTTATTTTAAAGAATGTAGTGAATAATGGAGCAAGAAAGCGTGCCCTTATGGGCTGGGGAGCATGAGCTGGAATTGTACATGCTGTTTGTGGACTTCCCATGGGATATTAGTAGATCATTGTGTGAACTGAATGCTGGATTAGGTGGGTCTGGTCTAGAGATGGGGGCTTTATATTTGTATACGAATATGAAGCCCCCCCCGGCACAGGTGGCTGTCCCCCCAGATCTCCCCCGACTACTTACCATGCAGCATGCATGGCTGGTATCATCTCCTTTGCCCTAATCACAGCGGTAGATCAGTTGTAGCAGCCCCACCCCACTCACTCAGCCACTCCAGCAAGAGGGTGGGAGGATGAGTGTCCCTGCTCAGTTGTGGAGTGGCTGGGCGAGCAGGGCGATGGGGCTGCAGCAGCTGAGCTACTACTGCAAATGGGGCAAAGGAGATTAAGTGGTGCAGTGGGGTATGGGGGTGGAAAGTAATCAGGCCGGCCACCTGTGCTGTGGGCGGGCTTTGTATTTGAAACCCCATCTCTAGCCTGATCCATCAGAATTCACTTTGGGTTTTTTTAAATCATTCAGAATATTTTCTTTTTCATGCCTGACCGGCAAGTGGTATATCAGAGAGAAAAGAGCAGGAATTCATAGGACTCACACCCATATTATATACTCAACAAAGCAGTGTCAGATTCTAAATTCCAAATCTCTCCTTTTGCAACCTTTGCTTTAATACACCTTCCACTTTGTCTCTCCCATCCTCTGCCTCTTTCCTTTCATTTTTAATTTTCTATTACTTTCTTTGATCCTCTTCTCTCATACATGCCTCTTCTAAATTCTAGGCCTCTTTAAATGATCTGCTGCTTTTTCTTGGTTTTCCCTCCCCTCACCCCCTTAGCCATAATTGTGGTTATTGTTAAGCAGTGGGTGAAGTAGGAAGTCCACAATGACCATCAAGTACTATCCCTTGTGGACAGATTCTGGAATGACAACTGGTATTTAAGGGAGTAGTTTTGCTATCCTTAGCTGTATCTTGTTCTAACCAGTCTTGTTTTGTTGCATCCTCCAGTATTTTCTGAATAATTTTAAGGTTTAAAATTAATTTTGATTTGGAATAGGATTTTGAAAAAGAGTTTAAAAGTAGAGAATTGCTAGTTCATCTGTGAAGATTTGTGTTCATAATAATGGACAAAACTGAATTTTTTTAAGAGTAATATTTCCTGAGTATTAAATATAATGGCCTTTTTTTTCTTTACTGTTTGTTTCAGAGTGCACAGCTGAGTGAAATAATCAATAGTCTCATTGCTCCTCTTAATTTATCTCCCACCTCCTCTCCTCTATCTTCAAAGTCCTGTATGCAGAAGGAGTTGGTCAATGGCATCTCATTACAGTAGGTTATGCTTTTAAGTACTTTAGTATGTCATTTGAATTTCAACTTTTTGAAGAACATAATACAATGACAGTATTACTTCAACTTCAAATATATATGTGCGCATACATAGATGTAAACATTATAGCAGTTCTTCAGCATTTTAAGGCTGCAGTCTCCTATACATTTATCTGGGAATGAGTCAGATGGAATTCAATAGGAGTTCCTTATGAGTACACATACCGTGTTTCCCCCAAAATAAGACAGGGTCTTATATTAATTTTTGCTCAAAAAAATGCATTACGGCTTATTTTCAGGGGATTTTTTTTAATGTACAACAATCTACATTTATTCAAATACAGCTGTGTCATCTTCTGGTTGCTATACAGTGGTGGAGGGCAGGGTTTCACTTTACTGTGGCTTCTTTTGGGAGTAGGGTTTATATTAAGAGCATCCTGAAAAATCATACTAGGGCTTATTTTCAGGTTAGGTCTTATTTTCCGGGAAACAGGTTAGAATTACATTTGTTCTTCTTTATGGTATCGTGATTTACACTAATAGGTTCTGCACCTGCACAGAGCTGGATTTGGAAAGTCCTAGAACTAAGCTAAGAGGCAGGAAGCCTGACTTCACCCTCCACAGGGCAGTGCACATTTATCTGTTCTACTCATCCTCGCAATATCTGTGTGGAACTGGTGCATTGCTTGGATTATTTTTCCTCATGTGATTCCTCTTGCTGATTCTCAGAGCATCAAAGCAGATTCATTGATTTGTTCACTGTCGCCATGCTTGAATGAGAACTTCTTGAGGACATTTTCCACGTTTGCTTGTTCAGCCGACACAAAATGACATTTCTTCTGCAACAGAGTGGGGTTGGCCAGAACTGGGAGGGAGGCATGTTCCCAGCTTCTTTGGCTGAGGAATTTCTGTATATCTTCTCCCTGTCCTCTGCTACTCAAGTTGAGCGAGCAGGAACCAGTGGCAGCCATCCTAGTTGTTCCTTGGTGGCCCTGTCATCTGTGGTTTCCCACACTGTTTTATATTTCCAAACATTGCTTCATCCACCTGACTTGTCCAGACCTTCTCACTCAGATTAAGGGCACATTTGTCACCTGGACCTTCACACCCTTTGGCTGCCATTGTGGAATGTATTATTTTAATGTATCTTTTTCTTCATGGCCTCTGTGTATCACACCCTGGGTAATTCGCGCCTGTGTGGAGCCTCATTAGAAGATTCTAGAGCTCCTATGGTAGCAATAAACACATTAGAACATGCCCCCCATATAAGTACCTTGGCGCCAAGCATCCCCTTGCAGTTTATTTCAACCGCTGTGTTGAGAAGCTCATAATTCTGCTTCTGTGAATAAAAGAGAAAGAGAGCTTATTCTTGATTCCTTCCTTATCAATCTTTTTTCTTTTAAACTATTAGATCAAACTCTTTATTATCAGATATTTTTCCTTTCCCCTTGCTCAGCCTCCAGCTGCAGCAACCCCCCTCCAATCATTGGTTTTTCTCCTCAATTATTTTTTCCTATTCATGGCCCCTTTGGGCCCGTTTAAGCACTGCATTGTCTGTGATAATAAGATCCCAATTTCCAAAGGAGGCGCTAAGTGACTTTTGAGGCTAAAACTCCAACTTTGGGAACAATCTTTACAATCAGTTCAAATGGCCCAACCTCCCTGTAGAGCCACTTCCCAAACCAAAGCAGTGGAAAAAGCCGTTACTGAATCACTGAAACAATGTCCATCAGCTGCATCAGCTCATTCTGATTCTCCATCTGCATCATCTAAGACCTCGAAGACATACAAATTGAAACCCTCGATACCAAAGTCCTTGACTTTGAAAACAACTTCTAAATGTCAGAGACCTACTGGAGCTGCTCCAGCTCCGGAGCTTCTTCCTAAACGAGCTAAACAGTCTAAGCCTACAGACATCCCACCACAACCACAACTCTCTGAATCAGTTTTGGTCGGATCTCCCTCAGATCTGCCTCCATCCCATCAACCATGTTCTCAGTCTCCAGAATGGGATGATAGAGTTGACCTACTAATGTCCTCTCCTCGCAGCCCACAACCTTCCATACCTTCCAGTTATTCCATTGCCCCAGGATTCCCATCCCGAAGGGCTCAACACCGTTCCATATTCAATGCCCTTGGATCGCCCAACGATCCCTAACCAGAACCGTCAACATCAACGATCTCGACAGCTTGCTTCATTGTGTGTGGCTCAAACCCAGGTGCATGGGGTTGCCATTTGCCCTGACCAGGGCTCTGCTTAACAAACTGCACTAACTAGTCGACCAGGTGTTATTCATTCTGGTCCATGGATACTCGCTCCATTTTGTTATATCAACACAGTTCCCGTCCTCTGGTAAATCCAAGTCATTGGCCCTGGCACTGTTATGACACTGAGCTTGATACCGAGGTCCATCTCTACCAATCAAGGTCCATCAAAGCTCAATCACCATCTTTCGATGCCGATGATCCTCAACATTGACAGATGTCCATGGATATGCCGCCTCAATCATAACCAGCAATACTATGAAACTCAGTCTCTCGACACAAAAGTCGATCACCAGTCCATTGACTCCAGACATAACCTCGATGGCTCTGACCATATATCTCATCCGCAGACTCCCTCGGTGTTACTTACCTCTCCAGTGTCGGACATTGTCAATACCGACCCTCCATCACTGGCAGAGGATTTCCAGACCTATGCCCAACTTATGATTCACATGGCTAAATGCCTTGATCTGCAAATCCACTGACCACCGTCAGAATCAGCCAATCATCTGTATGATTCAATCTCTAAATATACAACCACTCCGGTACACATATCGATGTTTCCATCTCTCCTTAGTACTGCGCAGGGATCCTGGACAAAACCAGCTTCCTCCCTTACCATGTCTAAGCGGATTGATAAGCTCTATAGAATCCATGACCCAGGAGCCATTTTCCTCCAGAAACAACCGGCTCCAAATTCTATATTTGTCGAAGCCTCTCAATCGAGATTTGACACCAACAATCTCTCATACCACCAAGTAAAGACAGCCAACGAATAGACTCCATGGGTAGATGGCTTTACTCTTCCACAGCCTTCACCATGTAAGTTGCTAATTATCAAGGAGCCATGAGAGCTTACCAACACTTCCTCTGGGACAACATGTCCGCCTTTATTGAATCCCTGCCAGAGGATAAAAAGACACTAGCTTAAACCTTCTTAGGATGTCTTGACACCACATTTTTCCAGTAGGGAAGCTGACTACTCTGCCATTAGTGTTAGTCACAGAAACCAAGAAGAAAAACAGTGGGTTGCTTTGGGTAATGGTGGTTGTTGCAATGAGATTATCTGTGAACTCATACAATCCATCCTGCTCCCCACTTGGTCTCCAGAGTTCTTTGTCTCTTCAGGGCAGCGTACTGGAACTGACAGGCTTGAGCTGAGGTACACTTACACTTATGTGGTGGAGGTTGGGGGTAGGCTTCTTGCCTTTTAGCTCAGCCCTAGACATTTCTGAATCCAGCTCTGTACAGGCACAGAACCCATTAGTATGAGTTCACTGGTGGCCACTTGAAAACTCATTGTTAACTATCGTTTTAAAAAAAACAGCAACTCCCTATTGAACATGTGCAGGTCCAAGCATTATGGCTCATATCACAAAACCAATAAAGTGCTATTATTATTATTATTTTAAATATTTAATTTAATTATTTTCCTTCCTCTGTGACACACAACAGTGTAAATCATATTAATGCAGTTAGAAAAGCAAAACTTTTTAAAAGCTACATTAAGGGAGGTAATATGCTTCTCTGTGACAGTTGCTCACTAATTACAAATGAGTAGGTGGTATTGCACAAATGTTCTGTGTTTGGACATTCTAAAGGCATCTAATAAGCCAGTCTGGGAGCAGAGTCCTGGACTAGATAGGCCCTTAGCCCTATCCAACTTTGTTCTCAATCTGTTCTTATTAATTAAAATTAAAAAGACTGAAAGTGAATTTTACAGGAGATTGCTCAGTATTATAAACTAAAATGTTGTTAGTAATGACCAAAGAAGAGGAGTAGGTTTAGATGTGGGAGAAGAATAGATGACTAGACAAACTTGACTGCAGCAACTAACTCTTGCTTACATCCTTTCTGCAATATTTAACCAGTGTGGCCCATTTTATGAATAGTGTATTTCTTTATGTGTTACTTTATTCAAATATAAATATATTTTAATATTTAGAATCTACTAACAAGCTGTTTACATTTTCTTGCTACTGATAAACCTCCTTGAAGTTCTACTTGGGCAGCTGCATTTTGCAGTTGAATGCCTGGAGAAAGTACCCCAGTTAAAACTGGGAATTTGATAATCCTGAATACAGTAACGTTGAACTTTGTGTGATGAGTAGAATTCATGTACAGTGGGGTCTTGACTTGAGAACTTAATCCATATTGGAAGGCGGTTCTCAAGTCAAAATGTTCTCAGGTCAAATCTGCATATCCCATAGTAATGCATTGAAAACCATTTGATCCGTATCTGCTCTTTTCCGTCCATAGAAACTAAAGGGCAGCTGCTATTCTGCCTTCGACCACTAGAGGGGGATCTTTTTTCTTTTTTTTCTTAGGTCAAGAAAGGTTCGGGGAAGGCAGGGAAAATACGGTCCAGGCAGCACCAGGCAGTCTGAAGACTCCCAATCCACTCTCTAAACGGTGGGAGGAGTGAGGAAGCAGACAGGCACCCTTTTCACTGGCCAACAGTTAACTGAAAGTTCAAATTTTGCACTTTCCCTGCCTCCCACGTGGTTTTTTTCTGTTCTTAACTCAAATCTAAGTATGTAAGTCAAGTCAATATTTTCCTATGAGAGTGGTTCTTAAGTCAAAATGTTCTTAACTCGAGCCGTTCTTAAGTCAGGACCCCACTGTAATAATATATAATGTGGTAAATCTGTTTCTTGAATGTTATATACAAATAAGAATAATTGTTGTTGCTTTTCAGAGATCCAAAAAACACTGGAGAAATTTCATCTTCCAGTAGTTGGTTAGTTGACCAACAGCACCTAAAGAGAAGAAGGAAAGATAAAACAAAGGTGAAAACATCGCCTGTTGTAGTGATGAGTACATCTGCTCGTACTAGACCACTTACAAGTTTCCAGAAGAGAAGACTCTACAAAATGAGCTCTGCTTTCATTTCAAATCAACAGGTGAAAATGTAATTTTCTGTTTCTCTAAGGAATTAAGTCAAGATTTCAGCCATCATATGTATGAGTACAATATGGCAATGGTATATGAGCTTAAATGTTTACAATATATACTAAATGCTGTCCAAGGTATTCCTGTTTTTGTTATTGATATCTTAAATGAGAATAAATCTTGAGTAAGCAGTGCAACAATGAGATTGACTTCAAAGGCTGAAGTAGATTTCCTCAGTTGGCGTGACTGGACATTGTTACTCCCATTTTTCTGACTGGCTTTGACACTGGAACAAGCATTCTATATACAGTGGTGCCCCGCATAGCGATGTTAATCCGTTCCAGGATTAACGTCGCTGTCTGGAAACATCGCTATGCGGGGGGAAAACCCCATAGGAACGCATTAAACAGAGTTTAATGCGTTCCTATTGGGGAAAAAGTAAGCGGTAAGCGAAGTTTCCCCCATTTTTGCACAGCTGTTTGGTGGGGCCAGGGATCTTAGCAAAGGCCCCCCATCAGCTGTGCGAAAACGGGGCATTTGCGATGAGGGGGGGAAGCAATCGTCCCAGAAAAGAGCCGGGAGCCATCTTCTTCGCTCCAGCCCCTCCCCCTCACTGCCTTACAGCTGATCCGCGCTGCTCTTAGAAGCTTGCCCAGCAGGTAAACAGGCAGTGGAAATGCACTGGGGAAGCCTCTGAAAGCGGGGCTTTGCCGGGGTGGGTGGGTGTCTCAGGGGCAGGCCCGCCACCCCCGTGGCAAAGCAGGGCTTTCAGAGGTGCATTTTCACTGCTGAAAAAGCCCCAGGAGGCTTCTGAAAGTGGCACTTTGCCAGGGTTGAGGTGGGTGGGGGTGACCTCTGAAAGCCCTGCTTTGCCACGGGGGTGGCGGGCCTGCCCCTGAGACACCCACCCACCCCGGCAAAGCCCCGCTTTCAGAGGCTTCCCCAATGCATTTCCACTGCCTGTTTACCTGCTGGGCAAGCTTCTACGAGCAGCGCGGATCAGCTGTAAGGCAGGGAGGGGGAGGGGCTGGAGTGGAGAAGATGGCTCCCGGCTCTTTTCTGGGACGATTGCTTCCCCCCCTCATCACAAACGCCCCATTTTTGCACAGCTGATGGGGGGCCTTTGCTAAGATCCCTGGCCCCACCGAACAGCTGTGCAAAAATGGGGCGTTTGCGATGATGGGGGGGGAAGCCATCATCGCAAAGTGATTTTCCCCTATAGGGAACATTGCAATGCAATCTCTTTTGCGATCACAATATCCACATCGCTATGCGGATTCGTCGTTAAACGAGGCACCCGTTAAGCGAGGCACCACTGTAATGTGTTGTTCTTTCTAAAAAATAATGGAAACAAAACTGAGCAAAGGTCTGGTAATATAAATTACCTTTTTTTTTGGCTCTTAAGTACCTCAAATTTAAAAAATGTTCCTTTGGGGATAAGTTGTTTGGCATGATGAAGCCTGGATGCTTCAATGCAGTGCCTCTTGCCTGGATCATTGGAATGCTTGGCTGGCTATTTATTCTCAACAGAATTTACACCTTATGTGTTTTTAGCTTCAACATAAACAATTAGTTGTCTTATTTTGGCTTTCCACAAGGTCTGCAGATGGTTGGGGCTTCTGCTCTCATACAAATTTCCATAAACCTGGCAACTTTTATTGGATTTTGGCACAGATATATGTTTTTCTGATCTATTATGTGTAGTTTTTCTGTGGTTGCCCCTGTGAATTGCAGAGGCTATGAATTCCTAGATCAGTGGACAGCTAGGCCAGTGTATTTGTTGCAGGTTATACCAACATCAGTAGATGGCATTATTGTATAACATATATCTTTTGTACAATATATGCCCTACCCATTAAGGCACAATGGTATTTTAAACTGAATTTACTTTTTTCCTCTTTCTCTTTACAATACTTCATTGTCTATGCTTACAAAAAGTGGCATATTTTGAATGAATGAAACATTTCTGGCATATCTATCAATTATCTTGGTTTCAGATTTGGATGAAACAGTGTTTTATTTTGAAAAGCGTCAGAATATTTTGGAACTGTAATGTAAGCTGTTGCTTGTTACTGCACTTTTCCCTTACTTTTGCTTTTATACACTTCAAAAACACTTCATTCCAGCAATCAGATAATCATTTTCTTAACACCTTACACTGGAAAGGTTTCAAACCTTGATCCATACACATCTGACGTTGCCAGGGAGGAAGATTCCAGTGGGCACTGTTTCAAAAGAATGTGTCACTGAAACACTCTCTCCTGTCCAGCTGTACCTGCCCTACCAGTAGTGGTGACAAGTTAGCACTCCCTGCAGTCAAAAACGAGCTCTCAAGAAGTCAATAATCTGGAAGCATTTTCAACAGTGTGTGGCAAATGCCTGCATGACTGAGCATGCACTGGAAGAAGGTGCTCAAGCATGGGCAGGACTTGGGCCACATCTCCAATAGTAACATGCTCAGCCACTTGAACACTGTAATAGTCTTTATAAGAAGGGCATTGCTGTTGGCAAGTGAAGTGGGTACTGTGGGGCACGTGTCTTCCTTATTGTGAAGAGTGAGAGTCATCAGGGGAGAGGTTAAGCCACCAGTGTTTGTGTCAAAAATCCCATGGGACATTTTTACATCATGGCTTGAAAACATACATACACAGCAGTGGCAAAGGTGAATATATTTCATAGGGTATTTTATAACATGAATTTTTGTGTGTGTTCAGAAAGGAAACTCTAAATAGGGACTCTAAACAATAAATAGGAACTGATTGAAATTTGGAGGTAGTTTTGTGGTTCACTTTTGTGTAAATTCTTCAGTGAAAAGCACATCTTGGTAGGATTTTGTCCTGCAGCATAACTATCATCATCACTATATCTTAACTAATGTGATATAAAGGCTAGGACTCATAGTAGTTCAAAGCTATAAGTTGGACTAACATGTTTCTTCCAATACTGTCTTTACATTTAACTGATTGTCATTAGTACTCTGGGGAAAGAGATGGGAATGTGAAATTCTTAACTGAACATTAATTTCTGAGGAAATATGTTGTCATATACAGTGGTGCCTCGCATAACGAGTGCACCATTTAACAACGAATCCACATAGCGATGCGCTTTTGCGATCGCATTGCGATGTTTTGAATGGGGGAAATCGCATTGCGATGATCAGTAAGCATTTCGCTTACCGATCTTCGCATTGCAATGTTTCCCCAACAGCTGATCGGCGGTTCCACAATGGCCGTCGGGTCAAGAAAATGGCCGCCCACAGCGTTTTCGCACTGATTCCTCGCTTACCGAGGCAGCGAAAATGGCGGCCTGATGGATGGAGTTTAATGCGTTCCTATGGGGTTTTTTGCCCCGTATAGCGACGTTTCCAGATAGTGACGCTTTATCCGGAACGGATTATTGTCGCTATGCGGGGCACCACTGTATTGTAAGTCATTTGTTTTTCTCTTCAACAGAAAAAGCTTATACTGCTGCAATGCTTAGTTTGAAGGAAGTTGATTTTTCCCCTTTTGCTATTCCACACTGGATTTATTGCCTTCATATTGCCGTGTAGTTCATGTTTTCAGTTTGAACATGATGCCCAGAAGAAACTGCTACAAAGACTGAATTGATAGAAGGTTTAAATTTGGAAAAATTTAGGTAAATAAAGTTTAAATAAAAGTTTTAAAGCAAAACTTTAACTTTTATGCATATAGGAAAAGGAATAAGAACCCTTACAAAAACCTAGGATTGTAGAGCTGTAAAGGGTCCCAGGGTTCAGTGGTTCCACCCCACCCCCGACAAAACAGGAAATCCACAGGTAGAGCATCCCTGACAGATGACCATCCAACATCTTGCCAGAGCACCTTCTTCCACCTAGTTCTGCCTGTTCCAGCCAGGCTGGGCAGTTGAGGGGCCTAACTCTGAGAGAGGCCCGAAGGGAAAAAACTAAAAACTGGGCCTTCTCGGCAGTGGCCCCTCCTTTCTGGAACAACTTACCAACAAAAATACGCCTGGCCCCCTTGCTGAGGGCCTTCAAGAGCAAACTAAAGACCTGGCTCTACAAGCAGGCCTTCACAACTACTATTACTTAGCTTTACCTCTTCCTCTTCCTTTTTTCCTATCTTGGACTCTTGTAGTAAAACTGGGCCTCATTTTTGATGCATTTATGTTTTCATTTATTATATTTGTATCTTTGGTTTTTGTATTTTGTGTAAACCAATGAAAGTAGACATGTTCTACATGGGGGGTATACAAGTCTAAATAAATAAATAAATACTTCTGAAAAACTAACAGTGGAGCAGTCCATTAGCTTTTGAGATACTCCATTGCACCGTTGAACAGTTGTTAGTGACAGAAGCTCTTCCTAATATTTATTTTAAATCACCCTTCTTATAGTTCAAATTAATTGCTTTTGGACCTACCCTCTGAGGGCAAATAGAATAAGCTTCTTCCATCTTTTTGGCAACAGCCCTTCAGATATTTCAGGTTGGTTCTCTTATCAGTTCTGTCCCTTCTCTTTCCCAGGCTAAAAATAACTAATTCCCTGAACCATTCTTCATAAGGTTTGATTTCCAGACCTGTTACTGTCCTATTTATCCTCTTCAAGTCATGTTCCAGCTTTACCCTTTGAACTGTGGTGCCCAGAACTGGACACACTATTCCAGGTGAGATAGGAGTAAAGCAGAATAGAGTGCTACTGTTACTTTTCTTGATCTGGACACAAATCTTCTGTTGATGCAGCCCAGTACAGTGGGGTCTCAACTTACAAACTTAATCCGTATTGGAAGGCAGTTCTCAGGTCGAAAATTTCTTAAGTCGAATCTGCATTTCCCATAGGAATGCATTGAAAACCATTTAATCCGTATCTGCTCTTTTCGTCCATAGAAACTACTGGGAAGCTGCTATTCCGCCTTCTGCCACTAGAGGGGGCTATTTTTTCCTTCTTTCCTTTTAACCTAAGATGACTTAGCTTTAAAAAAAGGAAAAAAAGAGTTCGTAACTCGAATCTAAGTTCGTAAGTCGAGTCCATATA